AGTATGGAGATTCCTCAGAAGACTAGGATTGGAAATTCCAATCAACCCAGCTATTCCCCTCGTAGGTATTTTCCCAGAAAAACTGAACAAGTCATATCACAGTGATATATGTGCACCCATGTTCATAGCAGCACAATTTGTAATAGCCAAATCTTGAAAACAACCAAGATGCCCATCAACATCACAGTGGATGAAAAAGATGTGGTATTTTTAAACAATGGAATATTACACAGCTATAAAAAGATGATCTTGAGGGTTTTTTTTTTTTTGTCTTTTTCATTTTTATCGGTACCAGTGATCGAACTCATGACTGACTGCTTGCAAGGCAGGTGCTTATACCACTGAGCTAAATCCCCAGCCCCAATCTTGAGGTCTTTATAGGCAAATGGAGACAACTTGAGACTATCCTCATTAGTGAAATAAATAAGAATAATATTTATAAATAAGAATAATGTTTACAAATATCACATTGTGTCTCTAGTGTAAAAAGTAATAAGAAATGTAAGAGTAACATAACCTTAAATGTGTAATTTCTGTTGTAAAAAAGAGAGGAAAAGAAAGTGCTCTAAAGGGTATAACTGCATCTGCGTTTAAATGTGTAGGACTGATAAACATATTGCTGAGTTTTTGTTGGATTGTTGAGCAGGACTGTTTGCAGTCTCACTGTTTGAATATCCACTTTGAACGTTTTACTTTTGTAACTTGAACAACTATTTCTAAGAGGGCAATAAGTAATTTATCAGCTAGTGATTTCTTACTCTTTATTTTTTGAAATTATGTATTATTTCTACCCTTTTTCTGTTTTCTTTATTTTCTATTTAAATAAAAAAGTCCAATCAAGAAAAAGGCAACTTCAATGAATACATACTTTTCAGAATAAGAGGTGCAAATGGCCAACAAATGATGTAAAATAATAAAAATAAAATGCATCATTTCTACTCATTAGAGAAATGTAAATGGAAACATAATCGAGGTTTAGTGTTACTCCAGAAAGAGTAGCTATCAACAAGTCTGAAATAAATTGGAAATGCTTGTTATGCTGCAGTAGAAAAAGAAACTCTTTTATGTTGGTGATGTGGATATAAACTAGTACAACCATTATGAAAATCAGTGTGGAGATTCCTCAAAAACTTAAAAAATATAAATTTTATTGTCCCAGCTAGACACTTTCTAGGTATCTTTCTGAGGGTGAAAAAGATAATGTATTGCAGTGATATATGCACATATATGCTTCCAGCAGCACAACGGGTAATAGCTAAATCTTGCAAGCAGCCTATATGTACATCAAGACGTGAATGGACAAAGAAAATGTAGTACATATTTTTATACAAGGGAGTGCTACTTTGCCATAAAGGAGGATACACTTCAGTCAGTAGTAGGAAAATGGACGTACCCTGAAAAAATAAAATTAAGGCAAACATAGCCAACATATAAGCTTAAATATCCTTGTCTGTTACATGAGACTCAAAGCATAAATAAAGAGAAAAACAAAGAGTAAAAGGGAAATGGAAGATAGATCTTTTGCAAATAGGAAGGAGACCAAGAGATGCAGGAACAGGGGAAGGAGAGGAGTAGGGGAAGTGAAAATAATGATGTGTTATGTACATGTATCAGTCCCACACAATTAATTTAATGTCCTAATAAAAATATAAGTACTCTAAAACAAGTCTTTCTCAGAAATACTGCCTATGTTTCTAACTCTGTGCTTCTCTATATATTCTCTATATCAAATACACACACACATACAAATGATCACATCAAATTCATTATTTTTCAGTGCCTATCTTTATATTTTTTCCTTTTTATTTAGCGAAAGAAATCAAAACAGAAAAAAAGTGTAGAAATAATACAGAATTTCAAAAAATAAGAAAAAAAACAGTAAAAAATCACTAGTTGGTAATTTACATATTGTTATCTTAGAAATAGTTGCTTAAGTTACAAAATCAAGCATAACAAGTGGACATTCAAACAATGAAAGTACAAACATTCTGTCTGATGAACTAACAAATCTTAGTAGTATGGTTATTTATCTTGCACACTTAAACATACAGGCAGTAATATCCTTTAGAGCACTTTCTTTCCCTCTCATTATCTCATCAGATTCCTCAAAAAACTCGAATTGGAAATTCCATTCAATCTAGCTATTCCCCTCCTGGGTATTTTCCCAGAAAAATTTAAAAGGTCATGTCTCAGCGATATATGTGCACTCGTGTTTATAGCAGCACAACTTGTAATAGCTAAATCTTGGAAACAACCAAAATGTCCATCAACCACAGAATGGATGAAAAAGATGTGTTCTTTTTATACAATGGAATATTACTCAGCTATAAAAAGGATGATCTTGAAGATTTTATAAGTAAATGGAGGTAACTTGAGTCTATCCTCATAAGTATAATAAATCACACTCACATTTGAAATATCGTATTTCTCTCTAGTATATAATAATAAAAACTGAAAGAGTGCTATATTTGTATTTCAATACAGGTGTTTCTTCTGCAGGAATGTCCTCTTCACCCATATTAGCTGATAAATTCTAGTTCATACTTCAAAATAGTTCATAATGGGTTCAAGCCCATTATGCCTACAAAGCTCTCTAAGACTCTTATGACACAAAGTAATATCTCCCTCTACCCTGTTCCTTGGCACAATGATTCACCTTTAGGTCTATATGTTTGAGATAATTTTCAGATATCTATTCCCACATCAAGTCATAAATTACTTGGAGGAAGAAGGCATATCACATTAGCAATATTCAAAATAATCACCAAACCTATGATACAGCTGTGTTCAACCCAGGCTACCTGATCAAGGTCCTGAGGCACTCTGCTACTTATGTTTTAAAGGGATCCCACTCAACTCAGCTATTCTCCTGGGTATCTTTGCAGAAGACTTAAAAGCAATAGGACACAGCGATATATACGCACCCATGTTTACAGCAGCACAGTTTGTAACAGCCAAATCTTGAAAGCAACCCAGATTCCCATCAACCAATGAATGCATAAAAAAGGTATGCTTTTTATATAATGGAGTACTACTCAACCATTAAGAAAGATAAAATTGAGAGACACTTATAGCTAAATGGATATACCTTGAGATCATAATCACTAAGTGATATAAATCAAACACCCATGTAAATATTACATTATCTCTCTAGTGTGAGAAAGTGAAAATGTAAATAAGAACAAAAATGTATAAAGATATTGTGAAATAGGAAGAAATTGTTCAAAAGGAACCAGGAGGGAGTGGAGAGAAAAGAATGGAAAAAAAAATAAGAAAAAAATTGAGTGTGTCATCTTGAGGACTCCGATTCCTCTTTCTGTGGTGTTCTTCTTGTCATATGTATTTCTCAGATGTTATTAGTTGGCCAGTTTTCCTTGGCCACATATTTCTGCAATGATTTCTACCTCAGCAACAGCTGATTTTGCCTGAAATTTCTGAAAGAGTTAGCCAAAATACAGCTCTCCTTCTTCAATTAAAAAAAGAATCCCTACCAGATTACTGAAAATACAGTTTACATGTTTTATGTTCTCAAAAATACCAATGAAAGAAACAAAGTGATTCTAAAGTATAAGACATGTCAAATACAATTATTTAACTTTTCTTAGGTCTATTTAAATAACTTTCACGGTCCAGGAGATTTTATCAATGCATTTATAAACATTCTCAGTTCGGTGATATTGATAGATTGAACCCATTGGCTTTGTATTGAGCTACATCTCCAGTTTTTATTTATTTATTTATTTATTTATTTATTTATTTATTTTTATTTTGAGATATAGTCTCCCCAATTTGCCCAGGCTGGGTTGAAATTTGGAATCCTCTTGCCTTCGTCTCCCAGAGTATTGGGATAACAGGCATACATCACCATGCTTGACTAGAAATGAACATTTCTTTAAAAAAAAAAAGCAGCTTCTATATTACATATAAAATTGTAAATTTTGCTACTTTATTGACGTCCTCAGAATAGGGCTACTATAGTTCGAATAAACCTATCACGTGATTTACTAATAGGTTTTATAAAGCCAAATGTTTCAAAAGTAATCCGAAGATTTCAGAACATGTTAAAAAATCCTTGCTGTGCTGATACCTGAGATTAAGAACTTTGAAAGTTGGGATAGGTATATGGGCTTTTCTCACACAGTACATTGCATTGCATTGTTAATATTTGGTTCATTGCATTTGGCATTCTGAAATTTTCCTTAGGTTTGCTAATAATATTGCCATCTAGTTGACTCTTGAATTTATGTGTTATAATAGGTCTCTATTCTTCTATGTCTTCCTTGATAATTATATACACTTTTCTTGAAGATTTGTTGATGAAGCATGCAAGAGTGAGAAGCTAGTATTTCTATGGAGAATAAGGGGCTACTAGATATATGCCTCCTATACTTCTAAAGTTTCTGTCACTCACATTGTGGTTATCCTCTTATTAGGCTCTGTCTATCAAAGGAGCATTTAATTCACTTACAATTAGGAAAACTTATTTCCTGCTGAATCATAGCCCTTAGTTCTAGCTATTATCTTCTATCACTTCTTGCCTTCCTACTTTCAGCGGCTTTGGGAACACATCTCACCCCCATTCTCACACAAGTAGCTCTGTTCAAGGACGGTAAGAAACTTGTTCTTTATATATTGAGTGCATGCATGCAGCTGTTTTATAATATATTCTAATAGAGTACTATTGGGTTCATAAATTGATATAACTATTTGACAATGCATATCAAATTTTAAAGCAAAGACTCGAGTAAATGTTTCTAATTTTAGGAATTAATTCAACAAATAAAGTTGAATAAATAGTTAAGAAAATATAATGTGTTTCATAAAATATATGCCCCCAAACCGGTGGTTACTGTATGTAGAAAGTTAATGATTAAAATGCAAACCTACATTTCCCTTTGGGTTATTTATTTAAAAGATCTATGGATTACATTTTTGTTTCTTCTAATCATATCTCTGTCATAGTTTGGTAGTTAATACTATTTTATAAATGGATTTAATACCTTTGAGTATTCCACGTTTCAAAGGGCATGCATTTATGACATATGAACCTGAATTATTTGGTTCTATTGTGATCTGTAGATTCCCCGCTATTATTGGAAGGTCTGAAGACACCTAGAAAATAAGAATTGGAAAACAAGAATTATACAATGCCATATAAAATGCTTTTCTATTTTTTAACATGTTAGACTATGTGAAATTAATGTTGATTTTACATATATTGACATTTAATTTGCATAATTCCCTTAAAATTGTTCACTCTTAAATGAAAAGCAAGCCACAAAAGGTTACAAACATTAAAGTTTAAGAATGGACCTATAAAAAATAAAACAGAAGAGATCACTCTTGGAGAAAAGCAATATCTATTTTCTGTCACTACTTGATTGAAGATCATTGATTGTTAAGAAATATGGATATTAATTACAGGTCATGTTCAGTTTTCTTTATGAAATTTGATGTACAAGAAAAGAATAATTTTAATGAATTTGTGCATAAATGTTTTTGTGCCTGTGTTATGTCATATCTTGATTCTTTTTTTTCCTCTTCCTTTACACTCCTTTTAACCCATTTTCCCCTTTATATTTAAAAAAGTTTTTTGATTTCATTTTTCCTTCTTTTCACTAAAGCTTTGTTTCCATTTTTTCTTCCTTTCTCACTTTCTTCTTTTCTATTCTTTTCTGCTAATCCTTCCCTAGTTCCCCTGGTCATTTGAACATTTTCTTATTTTTTCACAGTTTCTCATACAGTTTGGTATTTTTTTACACATTTGATTTCTCAAACCAGAGAAACAATTGAGTATTTATTTCATTAAAGAGTATGGTCTAAAAGTACATACATTTAGCTAGTAATGTTTCAATTTTATCTTTCTTTATCACAGAGCAGTACTCCACTGTATTAAAAAAAAACACACATCTTCTTTACCCATTCATCAGTTGATGGGCATTTGAACTGTTTCCAAAATCTAGCTATTAAAAACTGTGCTGCTATAAACATGATTGTGTATATGTATCACTGTAGTATAATATCATTAATTCTTTCAGGAATATACCACGAAGAGGAATATCTGGGTTGAGTGAAATCTCTAGGTTCATTCTTTTGAAGAATCTTCACACTGATTTCCACAATGGTTGCACCAGTCTACACTCCCACCAACAGTGGAGAAGAGTTCCTTTTGCCCTATAGCTTCACTAGCATTTGTTATTGGTTGGTTTCTTGATAATAGTCATTCTTTCTGGAGTGAGATGGAATCTCAGAATTGTTTAAATTCAATCCTTTCAACAATGATGTACATCAGTTTTAGCATTGCATATAAGGAATATTTAAGCAGCACATGACCACAATCCAGGTTAAATGAAACTTTCAGTGTTTCTTGGTGCATAAATATATCAGGTCCTTTATGAAATACTGTCAAATACTATTATACTTTGCGTGTCTGTATATCTTTCTATCATGGAAAATTGTTTGAAATGAAATCATACAATATATAGTGTTTGATCACTGGTTTTGAAACTTAACATACTTGTTAAAAATCGTTGTCTAGTTTTAGTTGACAAACTTGAAAAAATTATGCTTTAACATAGCAAATAGAGCTAATTAACATGTTTTGCTTCACATAACTAGCATGCCATGGTGAGAATTTTTAATATCTACACTTTTTTAATAATATGCATTGGCTTTTGTTTGTTTATTTTTTGTCTGTCTTTTTGAGACAGGATCACCTTATTCAGTTCAGGCTGGTCTCAAAGACTCTTTGTAGCCCAGGCTGGTCTTGAAATTGCAAAGATCCTCCTGCCTCAGCAGCCCAAGTGCTGGGATTACAGGTATGCATCACCATGCAAAGCTTGCATTGTTATTAAGTATAGTAAAATAGATTTCTCTTGTCTCTCTGTCTCTCTCTCTCAGTCTGTCTCTGTCTCTGTTTCTTTGTGTTTTATATTTCACTATGTAGCCTGGGTTGGCCTTGAACTTGCAGGGATCTGTTTACCTCAGCCTCAGAAATGCTAGAATTCCAGGTATGTGTCACTACACACATGTAAAATAGAGTTTTTAATTGTTCTTCCCATCTAAGGGACATATTCTGTGGCTTGAGCAACCCTTTTCTGCTTTCCTTAACAATAACACAGACTTTGATAACCATGATTCTAATATTACCTTTGATAAATTCAACCTTTTTAGATTCCTCCTATCAACAAGATCATCATGGTATCTGCTTTCTGTTTCTGCCTTTTCACTCAGAATCATATATTTCATGGTCATCTATGTTGTCAAATATAACAGTTCTTTCTTAAAGCTGAATTGGAATTCGTGGTGCAAATATATTGTATTTCCTTTGTTATTTCATCCGATGATGCATACTTATGTTGATTATATATCTTAGTTAATATGAAAAAATTTAATAAGGAATATGCAAGTGCAGATATCTCCTTGATATACTGATTTAATTTCTTTGGATATATACTCAGAATTAGAATTACTGAATGGCACATTAGTTCTTTTTTTTTTTTAATTTTTAGAGGAGGCAACATGCTGTTTTGCACAATGACTATATCTACTTACATTGTTATAAATAATAGAGTTCACAAGTCTCTTTTTCTTCATTGTTGCCAATACTTGTTTTGGAATTGCTTTTTATAATTATCTTCAGATATTCCAGTAATGTGGGAATTTCATAGATCACCATAATCTTTGATAATGCAATTACATCCATTTTATCTTTTTAATCATTTGAATATGTTGCTGGACTAAGTTTGTTAGTATTCATTCAGTTTAAGTCTGTCTATAATTCTAGGCAAAACTGGTCTGCAGTTTCCTTTTTCCAGGTTACTTTATCTGGATTTGCAATCAATGGAATAATATTGGTCACACAATGAGATTCAGAAAGTGTTTTCCCCTCTTGTACATTTCTGAAAGTGCAGATACTCCAGGCAGCTTAGAATTGAAACATGTTCTGGTCTCTGATATTTGATTTGAGTGTTTCATTAATTTATGATAAAAAACCAGAAATCTTCCATTTTTAAACCAGCTTTTCTGGATTTCTTTTTTATTGATACTTATTTCTAATACATAATGATTATATCTATTGCAGGGAGTTGGTACACGTACAAAACACTTCTTAACTTTTCTTATTTTAATACCCTTCTCCAACCCTCTCTCTCCTCCCTTCTTCCTCCTTCCAATTATTAGCGCCATTTCCTTTTGTAAGTTTTATATCCTTACTCTGATTATCCGTTGTTATTCCACTATTTAATTTCTTTATACTTTGAGTTTTTCATATAAAAGAGACCATGCAATATTTCGGTTTGCATGTCTCATTTATTTCATTTAAACTTTTGATCTCAAGATGTATCCATTTTCCAGGGAATGCTCCAAATTTATCTTCTTCATAGCAGAGTACCACTTCATTTTATAGTCATATAACCTTTCCTTTCCTTTACTTCATTCTTTTATTTGACTTGATTTTCTCATATGAGAAAAACCATAAAGTATTTAAACTTGAGTATCTTATTAAATCTTGTGTCACTTTTGTTTCTATAATCCTCTAAATCTGCTAGATTTTGGGTTGGATATTTTCTACTGCCCTTTTAATTCCTTTTATAATTGCTTCACCCTATTTTTGAGTTATTTTCTATGTTGTTCTATGGATTATAAGTATCATTTTAAAATAATACAAAAGAATAGAATAATGTACTTTTGGATTAGACCTAGTTAAAATTTTATGGTACACACAAACTTTGCTTTAATACTGTCAACTCTTTCTCTCTCATGTACTGTTTTGTTTTGTGTTGTTTTTTTGAGACAAACTTTCAGTGTGTAGTCCAGGCTGGCCTGTAACTCACTGTAATCCTCTTGCCTCAGACTTCTGAGTGCTAAGATTACTGTGGCACACCACCACACTTAACAATATTACTGTTTTCATAGCTAATCTATTTTTAAACATTTAAGCCTGTCAGCATAGAATTAGTGGTATTTTTAGTTTTCTTTTAAATTATATAGTACCAAAAGAATTATAAAGAGCTCATACTTAGTTGTATATTATATTTACCTATGCTGTCATCTTTATTAGAGTTCTTTGCCTTTATATGGATTTGAGTTCTCCTACTGCACTTTTTTTTTTTTTTTTGTCTTTTTCCTTTTTATCGGTACCAGGGATCGAATTCACGACTGCCTGCTTGCAAGGCAGGCGCTTATGCCGCTGAGCTAAACCTCCAGCCCCTCCTACTGCACTTTTACTTCATGTTGATGGACTTCTAGCATTCCTTAAAGAGAATATCTTCTAGAGATAAATATACTCAGTTTTGCTTTAGCTTGGAACATTTTAGTTGCTCTTTTACTATTGAAGCATAGTTTTATTATATATGAAATTCCTGCTTGACAGGCTTTTTCTTTCAGGATTTAAAAAGTATCATCCCATATCATCCAGTCCCTATAGTTTCTTATGAAAAAAATGTGGCAACTTCACTGAAAATTTCTTAAGTTTTTCAAAACTTTTCATCCTTTTTTTGTGTGTGTACCGGAAATTAAACTTGGGACTGTGTTGTCAGGAAGGCACTTGTGTTCCTGAGCTATATCCCAGGCCTGGGAAATGTTTTAATTTTTTATTTTATTTTATATTTTTTTAATTTTCATTTTTGACAACTCTGTGTTTTCCTTTATCTTTTGAATATTTCACTATAATGTGTCCAAGTGCATATATCTATCTTTAGATATGTAGATTTTTTCAATTCTTTTCCATATTCTTCCATTTTTATGAAATACTACCAAATTAATTTCAGTACACTCTCTCAGATCTTTCCCTTTTTCAGTTTTTCATTTGTGCTAGTAGTTTAGATGTTTAAAAATCAAGATTTTGTTTAAAAGTATACTGTTTCTCCAATTTTCTTTTGACTGAGATATAAAGAAAATAAAGAGAATTTGACATATCCTGCCCTCTGGACCCAAGCTTGACTAAAATTGCATATGAGTATTTCCTGGTTTGTTTTACCTTTTCTCCAGACTGTTATGTTTTTGTGTATTGGGAAGGATGCTGTATCCTCAATCTGTCAAAATTGTAAATAAATTAATATTTTCTTTGTTGTGAATTTCCTTGTACTGTTCTTTGCAGGTGGTCATAGATATGCAGAAACCTAGAGACCCAGGGTCCATTTCCAGGTCTTACAAGGCCCCACTGGTAATGGTAACCAGAAGCTAAAGTCCATATTGTGGTCTATCATTCCCCCTAAAAACACGGGAGACAATTCATTTTGATGAAAAGAGAAAAACCTATGCAAACTCCCAAATGACAAGAAGGCCTTTTGCTCAAATTTCTTTCTCACTATAGTCAAGTTTACATAGCTTTTTATGGCAAATAAGATGAAGAAGCACAATGAGATGATAAATAAATAAATTCTCTCTGTGTTTCATTTCCTGGGTATTCTTGATTCCCTTCTTCCCTTGTGGAAAAGAAATTTACACCTGACTTCCAAGGGTAAGCATCCCTATATTCCTTTCAGACAAAGGACAAAGGTGAGTTATACCAATTAAGTAGAGGAGTTTTGTTGGCCTATGGTAAACCTCAATAAGAAGTTTTTTCTTGCTTATTTTTTGTACTTCTAATGCATAACTGATGTTACAGTTTGTGTTTAGATAACCCCCAAAGACTCATACAGTCATGGAGGTGCTGTATCTAGCATTTGTGATTAGTTCATTGTCTAATGCCAAGATTGGAAGTGTGAGTGCTGCACCCATCCAGGGTTGGGGATCTGGCATACGATATAAGGGAGGGAAGGAGGCAAGATCTTCCTTTTTGCTCTTTAAATCTTGTCACTTGTTGCCTTCATGAACCATTGCCCCTTAGCCATGCCACCTTGCCTTGGAGCCAGCTGAATATGAATTGAAACCTCCAAAAACGCTAAGCTAAATAAATGTCTCCTTCCTTAATTTTGGTGTCAGGTAATTTATCACAGTAATGAGAGAAAAGTGACATATCCATCAAGTTGTAATTACTATATTTTATGTCTGTGATGAAGACTTTTAAGTTGTACTGTTTTAGCAAATTGTAAGTATAATACAAAGCACTATTGAATAAAGTCACCCAGATGTACATTAAAGCTCCAACATTTTTTCATCTGCCCCTCAGTCCCTGAATTATTTCACTTAGCAAAATGTCACCCAGGTGATTCATGCTATGGTAAATGGCAAGAATTTTGTGACTGTATAATATCCTACCTCACACACACACACAGGGTATTTTGTGTATCCAATCATCTACTGATAATCACTTAAGACTTTTTTTCTTATTTTGTCTGTTGTGAATAATGTTGCAAGGAATATGGAAGTGAAGGAATCTCAAGATAATTATTTCATTAACAATAGGATACCAAAGATCTTGAGTAGTCAAAGCAATCCTGAGAAGTAAGAAAAATCCTCAAAGAAAAATAGTGGAAATATTCTTGAGCATTAGTCTTGGCAATGAATTATTAGATAGGGCACCAAAATCTGAGAAACAAACAAACAAACAAAAAACAGATGGAACCTCATCAAATTCAGAAAGCTTCTCTATAGCAAAGGGAATGAACAATATGATGAAAAGACAACTTATGAACTGAGACAAAAAATTACAAATCACATATCAGAGAGTATTTAAAATTTTTAGTACGAAATACATACTATCTCAGTAACAAAACTCCAAATAATTTAAAATGTACAAGGAGCCTTAAGACAAGGTTTTGCAAAGAAGACATGACCAAGGGACATATGAAACAGTGATCTGCATGCCTGTTCACTAAGATTGCTTTGAAATTCCTGTTTTTCCTAAGGCTGAAGCCAAAGCAAATGACTTAAAAGGCCAAGAAAGAATTATCAAAAGGCACTCACAGCCACACACAAAAGAATCTTTACATCACCCACTTCCTGGCAATCCAAGACATTATGAATTCAGAGGCAGTCAAAATATCCTTGAAAGAGGACTCTCAAGAGAAATAAGACTGGCCACTATATATCATCATGGAGTTCCCACTGACCAGCGATTCCTCCACAAAGAAAACAGATACTCATATTTATTGTGGATGTCAAAGTTAAAAACAACCAGACCAAGTAATTTATGAAGAAGCTCTATACACTAATGGAGCCAAGGTCAATAACCTGAACAGGCCTAATGGATGAGGAAGGAGAAATATGTTTGACCCTTATTTATTATGCTTTGTAAGATGCCAACAAAATTGGGGTCATTTAAATTAAGTCTAGCTAGATAATTGTAACTACACATTCTTTTTCACCATAAAAAGTACATGGCATCAATAATAATCAAGAAATTGCAAGTGAAATTCACAAGAAGGTATGCTAAGTGTTCTCTGAGAAAATCGGGAAACTTTGCACATGGACTATTTGTCATTGTTGTAAACACTAAGACTGACAATTCTGAGGAATGGACTAAGTGCAATTTGTATAATGAGAGGGAAATAATTGGGGAATCAGGCGGTGGTGACATGTTACAATTTAGATCTGAAATGTCCCCCAAAACCCCATGTGTTTGTAAGGAGATGAATCACAGAACCTCTATGCTCAACATTCGATTAGTCTGCTGATGAGTTCAAAGCAATTTTGCTGTTAGTAGATAGGGCCTGGTTAGATGAGGATAACTGGGGATGTGACCTGGAAAGTTCTATTTTTTTCCCCTCAAGGACACTATCTCTCTCAGTCTGATGCCTGGATGTCATGGGGTGAACACTTTTCCTCCACCATTATGCCGTTTCTGAATTGGAGCCAAATAGCCATAGACTGAATCCTCTAAAATCCATAGATGAAAACAAATCTGTATTTCTTTAAATTGTGGGTTTGGGCTATTTTTTTCCCAAAGATGAGACAGTAACTGATTAACTTTCTTTCTCCTTTAACTGCCACTCATTATATTGTTATCTGTACACTAAACATATCTTCGTTCAAATATTGTCATGTACTGAATATTATAATGTATGCTCTATGCAAATATGAGGAAGAGAGGATTACCCTCTCCTACAAGTTTATCATCAGATGGGAATGACAAACAATTGATAGCAACTTGAAGTAGTAGGTGTGATGGTGAGGTACATACAAAAAGATCATGGAGACAGAGACAATAATCTAAATCAAGTTTATGTATGTAGAGAATAATATTGGAAAAAATAGTTTTAACTTTTGTCCTAAAAATGAAAGGACTTAAACACAGATATACGGAAAATAAATATCTTGGTTATTTCTTCTTGGTTGGAAAAAAGGTACCCAGCATCCACAAATTAAAGAAGGAAAGGTTCAATTCAGCTCACAATTTGTAGAGGTTCTCGATCACATACATTTGGCTCCAAATTGGCAGTCATGGCAGAGGAGAAACAGTCTGTGTCAGGGAGAGCAGAAAATAACAGCAGCAGCAGCAGCAACAGCAGTAAGCTTTCCTCTCTCTTTATTTTCCATCCATCTTACAAATTCATTGGTTTGTGAGATACACATCCAAAGTGGGACTTCCAGTTCAGCAAATCTACCTAGCTACACCCAGAAATATGTTAATCCTGTCACTGGACCAATCCAATTATCACACACACTAATCTTGTATCACAAACATGATCTAGTAAATTCCCCCAAAGCTCCATGAGAGGAGTGCATAAGGTTTGCAATGCTTCTAGATACAAGCCAAAACAATACAGAATTTGGCAGAAAATTTTCAGATCATAGAAAAAGAACATACCATCTACAAAGGTCTAAATGTTGTTAGAGCTACAAGTGGCAAAAGATAAAGCTGAAGAGATAAGCAAGAACAAACTATTGATGGACACAAAAAGCTCTTTTGGGGAAAATGGACTTAACTCTGAAGGCAAAACATGACATTGGGAGTTTTTATAGCTAGGGATGACATGAGGAAAATTTCATTTGATTTGTAATCTAATGAGGAAAGAAGAGAATTAGGTATATATAATTTAAGGTTACAACAAAAGGAGAGAAGAAATGCACTCGAAAGTAGAATTAAAGCATCTATGTTAGGTACATTGGTAGACGGTTAAAACTTCTCTTGAGGATTGTATTGAGCACATAATTATTTGTCAATAAAGATGGAAGTGAGAGATGCTGTTGTTTGAATATAGAGCCTTGTACAAGTAAAGCATGTGCTCTACCATTGTGCCTCAGTCCCATTCCAGAAATTTTTACTAAAGAATAGCTTCAATTACACAAGTAGAGAAACATACAAAACTTCAGAAAAAACAATAGTTATGCATTTTTTCACATTTCCACTACTATTCACATTTGACGAATGACAGTGTACCCAGCCTGGAAATATTCTTTTGTTTCTAGAGAAAAGTGGCCTCTTCTTTTATAGATAAGTAGCTCTGCTAAACTTCCTTCTGTAGAATGATGTAATCATCAACTCACTTTCTTCTCCGCGTAAACAAAGAAAATAAAGAGAACTTGTAGATGTTGGCATTAGGAGCTCTGGGCCCAGTTTCCGTTCTACAGGAAAAGGAAAGAACAAGAGGAAGCTGCCAGAGAGTGATTAAGCAAGCCTGGAGATACCTATTGTCTCATTGTGTTCCTCCTGCACTTCCTTTTTTACTTACAAAAAGATTTTGCATCCTTGATACAGTGAGATGTTGATCTGAGACAAAGGAGCCTCCATCACCTTTGAGCTAGGTTTGCATAAAGCCCATTTCCTTTCACCAAAATAAATGGCCTATGCTTGATCAGCAGGAAGAAAATGGTCCTAAGCCATTGATTACCAGTAGTAATATTTCCTGTATGTATATATCACTTCTTAAAAATTTAGAATTGCTTCTAAATTTTTTGAAGCAATATTTTATTGATATGTACAATTTCTTCAAGCAAAAGTACACGACTTAAAATAGATTTTAATGTGTTGCACTAATATACTACTAATTACATATAAACATATTTATTATTAATTGCACTTGTAGCTGAAATTAAACAGCTGTTAGATTAATAAAAGATAAAATTTTTAAAAATCTACTTTTGTGTCATTGGTTCAGCACATTACGTAAAAGGAAATGTTTTACATTTTTCATAAAACTGCTACATATCTCATAATTTAATATATATGCAAAATACAACACTTTCAAAATGAAAAGAATCTTACCTCAAATGTTACAATAGTCATTGAATAATTAGGCACTAGTATGGATTTATTAGCTATATCCCCCACTTTGCAATTCATAATGATGGTTCCAAAAGCCAGGGGTTTTTTTCCAATCCCTTTTATGTTGAAGATATGCTCCATACCATCCACTTCATTTTTGAGAGTAAGTTTACCCTATGACAAACCAGTCAAATTTCAGCTCTATAGTGGTCATAGGTCAAAAACAACCTCTGTCATGATATTCATATTGAGTCTAAAGAAATTAGTTTATAGATAGGTGTCAGTCATTGGCTTTTCCACTTCACATATCAATGTTTCTACTGAATAAATTGTTGGTGAAAATCTCACATTTTTCTTTATTTGCCCTAAAGCATAATGTAAATAGACACATTCTCATAGGCAACAATTGCTATTATGTTTACTTACTCGTCAAAAAATTATTGTCTTAGGTTTCTTGGTGTATGCCTACAATTCCAACACTGTTGGAGTCTGATACAGAAGGGCCACAAGTTTCAGCCCCAACTGAGCAACTTAACAAGACACTGTCTCAAAAAATAAAAGAGAGGGGAGCTGCAGGTATAGCTCAAGGAGGAGGCCTTGGGTTCAAACCCTGTTATACATCCCCATAATTACTGCCTTATGAACATAAGTTTCAGGGAGTGATTTGTGTAATGAGTAGGAAATAAAGGAGAAATAAATTTATGTTATTCAGCACCTGATGTAAAAATAATCCAACTACAACAGCAATATGATTTTCAAAATATTTTACCCCTCAAACCAAAAACATTAATTTAAATTTCAAGAAAAAATTATTAACTTTATGGAAAACATAAATTTTCACAAAAAGTGATGAATTAATATACATTACTATATACATTCACTTATTTACATATTAATACTGGGAAAACAATCAATGAGTTCTTACCATTATTTCACACTCTGAAATAGGTTTGAAAGTGAGAGGATACTGCACAGTTTCATTTGGTCTTACATGAAAAATGGAAGGTCCAGAAAACCATTTTCCTTCTATTTTAACTTGACATTTCCACTCTTTCTTTGTTTCATTAGTCTATGGATGAAAAGAAAAAAAAATGTGCAAAACATCAGAGGGATCATGTTGATGAAGTTGAGTTACAAACACATTCCTGGTATTTTCAGTGAAAGTACATAGTGTAATATTCATTACATTAAAATTCCAGTATTAAAATCATTAAAGTCATTAAAGAATGACTGCTGAAATTCATTAGAGAATGATTACTGAAAATGTTAAGAAGCCGAAGAATAAATATATTCTTTCTATGTCACACAGGAATAGTATTTGATGGATCATTTAATAACTAGAGATGTATTTCTTGGTTTGATTTGCTACCTACTATTATAATAGCAATGTAGTACTGGTGGACACAATTATGCCTAACAGAAATAAAACATGTTCAAACTGGCAACACAGATGACATTTTACAGATTAGTTTATACCCTATGTTGTGACTTTTGTTATATCTTTAATAATTAAACAAGCAAAAACCAAATTATCACTTTCAAAACCCATAGTTCCTTACAATTACAGTATGTCTTGTGCTATATTATCACTTGAATAGGAACCCAAGCTACTGTCAATCACTGTTCTCAGTGCTCATGAACCCATTTTAGTCAAAAGATCACAATAGAGTTTGGAACAGAATGTGTGAGAGGGAGTTCATAACTCTGGTGAAGCCAGGAAGTCATAACTTTTTGTTAGGAATCTGAGGATAGGTTTAGGATATTGGAGATACTTTTTTAAGGACAGAGAGCAATTAAAATAAATGATCATGTGGACAGTATGATAGTAATTTATATTCAGGAAGAAACTTTGACCTCAGTGAGGCCGAATAATTGGCAGCAGATGATACAACTTTCAATCTGTAGTAAGTCTGAATGAAAGTTTGCAGTCTTTAATTAATATGGTAGCAGTAGGTAAGGAAACTCAAAATAAGCTATTCTGAAATGTATTTCTTTAAAATGTTTCAAGAAATATCTGATGAAACACAGATAAAATAACTCTGAAAGGCTACTCTTGTAGAATAAATTTACATCTATGAACGAATCTACATTAGTAAAAAGTGGATGCAAACAGGCTTTGCTATCTAGCATACCTCTTTCTGTCTAGGAAAGATCTATTTACAGGAGGAAAAGGTTGGAAATCTTACAAGTAGTCCAGCCAGAGACTAAGGCAGGTGGCCGTTACCTGGAAGACATTACCTACATAGCAAGATTATTCGTGCTCACTATATCCAGCTCTCCTTAATCATCCAGAGTCAGCCACAGTCTCCCCTCCACATAGAAGCCCAAGCTCTGATCCTTTGTTTAGCTTCTAAGTAAACTTCAACTTTCTGGCTCTGTCTTCCAGTCTGTTACTGTGTGTGTGGCTTCCATGTTTCGGCATATTAATAAATGTTATTTTTCCCTGCTAATGTGTCTAATATTAGGTTATTTTAGACTTAAAAGTCTCAAACTTTCAAGAAAAATGAGTAAATTTAAAATTTCTTTACAGGTACAAAAACAAGTCTGCACTTACTAAAGGAATGTTCTGGGTAAGAGGTTCAAGTGCTGGTGTCTCAAACTCAAATGTTGCCTCTGGTTGGTCTTCATTTACCACACCTTCAATGTAATAGACACGCACATCATAGTTTGATGTCAACAAAATTTTACAAGGGTAGTGTCCAGGACCAAGTGGACAAAATTTTAAAGGAATTGAAATAAATCCTGCATCTATTAAAATAATTGAAAACAAATAGTTTAGTCATTTTTAAATGTCATATATCCTATAATTTATTGTGGTAAGCAATATTTAATATTATTAGAAACATTATCTGTCATAATTTAGAATACACTAGGTTTCAACTGAAGTAACATACCATACCAAAATCTCCAGGGTCTATTATGCAAGTTTGTTTATGAGAGATTATAACTTGCATAGGCTAGGGGAAGGCCTGCTTGATAAAAACACTCCAGACCCACACTTTGATGGATACCACTATTTTGCTGTTGTCTTATCAGGAATAACTCCACATATTGGTTGAGAGTTCAAAAGAAGACGACTGGCTGGGAGACTGCTTCAGGGCTTTTCAACATCCACTCCAAAATATTACAATTAATGGGAAAGACAGACACACGATTTGAACTAAAAGGGAGTTAATAGATGCAGTAGATGTTTGGATGATTTGGAGAACATTAGTATTCATCACATTTATATGAGAAATGTTCATGACTGAGAAATGTTCAACCATATAACAATCAAAATAACTTTTTGCTTAATCAGCTAATACAAATGTTCATTTCTTAATGATTACTGAGTCTACAAGTGAAAGGCAAGAACGTTCTTATGTACACATTTTCCAATTCATGAAGGGTTAGTGTGCAAGAACAATAAATGTAAGCTGGTCTCTCTCCCGTATAACTTATAAAATGGAACCTATCCTAGCAGTAGGATTCATAAATATGATAGTTCTAAATTGAAAATTTATTAGCAATACGTTACTTTATCTTAAACATAAAATAATTATACAATAAATATATGTAAAATAGTATGTATCACAAGAGGCACTTACGAACAAAGATATTTATATGCAAAATCTATAATATACAGATGCCACTCATGTACTATTATTATTCATGTACTATGATTAAAATCCTCTGTATTAGTTTCCTCTTTCCCATTCTTCTATCCATGCTTTCCAAGATAATATCTCAAATAATTTTTGGAACTCAAGGTGTTTTCTTTTGAGGCAGAGTCTTGCTCTGTGATTCAGGCTGGCTTTCATCTCACTATGTAACCCTGGCTGGCCTCAAACTTGCAACAATTTCCTTGCCTGAGTCTTTTGAATCTGAGGATTATAGGTGCCTTCCAGGACACCTGGCTGGAATTCAGAATGTTAATCTATTTGAATAAATGAGATTGGCTGACTGCTCTTTAACACTTTAGTATTTGAATTTGAGATACCATAACTAAGATGGAATCATCTCAATATTTAAAACAAATAAGCCTATGGTTGATCTGATTGAAAAAGGATGCACTACTAGGATTTCCATTCATTTCTACTGTAGTAGCCCAACAAACAAATGGCAACACTTGATAATTCTAGGATTACTAAATTTTAAATTAATTGGAAGATTTGGAGAACATTATTTGGAGAATATAATTTGATAGTTTTTCCTGCCTTCAATTGCAAAAATTATAAGGAAAACTTTAAAAATGTGGAAATGTTTAAGTAATACAGTTAATAGGACATTACCTTCTATAATTTCTAATACATTATAATCAATAGTCACAGGCCCTTATTCAGAAAATGAACAGTCATCAATTAATAATTACATTTATTCTTTTTTTAAATATTTATTTATTTTAAATAAATATGAAAAATATATTTTAGAGTATTTTTGGCTGACCTTTAAATCAGAATTATATCCACTGTTGGAATTTTTTTCTATTATACAAGACAAAAGATCAAATGGCATATTAATTATAATTTTTCCTACTTAAGTGCTTTATATTCTTATAGGCATATAAGAAATATGTCTTCTTTTACTCCAGTAAAACAAGTCATGGATTCATAACAGGTGCTCATCACTTTTCTTGAAATAATAAAAAAGCATGAGTATGACCACAGACTTTATGTAAAAATAAAAGGATGCAGCACTTACAAATTTTAAAATAAGCTTGATTTATTCTTCCAAACATATTTACTGGTAGATATGTAGTTTAGCATCTCCCAATTAGAAAAAAAATTTTTTTGAAGTGGCTTGGTTATTGTAAATTTTAAGACTTGATGTCAAATGTAATATATAATAATAAAAGAACAATTGTTTAAAAATGATGAAAAAGCTATACTAATTATTGATAGCCTTTTTGAAATATTATTTAATTTGGATTTTTACTTGAAAATAGGCTGAATTAATTTTTCTTTATATCACCAGAATGATATATAAATAATATTTAAGAGTGAACAGACAGATTTAGAGGGAGAGTAAAGGTAAGTAATGGAAGAAAGTAATCAGAATAGGTGATAGAAATAAAGAAAAGGTAGAAATAGGAATCTGAGAAGCCAAATTAAGTAACACAGTAAAATCTGAATCTATGAGTCTGCTCTCCTCAGCTCACCTGAAACTCCTCAGTACCCCACCCCCAATCCCCTGACCTTGGTCCTAAGGCCTTCTAAATGGAGACAGAGAATCCTCAGTTCCAAAATAAGACTTGCATGTCCCAGATCCTCCAGCAATACCTATAGCAGTGGTAAAGAAACTGCGGTATGCATGCCGCAGAAGACTGTATCACTGAAAGCTCTAAAACAGTGACTGTGAAACTTTTAGAGAGCAAACTGCAAATTAAATCCCAATTTTTTATCGCAATTGAAACTGAATACTAAGGTTTTAGTTTAGAAAAAAGGTAACTGCTATATGATGCTTGGCTACTGGAACCACTTGGTTAATGATGCTGACTGAGAGGGCTCTGCGTGGCGGCATCGGCACATATGCCATAGTTTTATCATTACTGCTCTAAAAGTTTAAACATTGCTAATTTATGTAACTTTTGTTAACCTAGAGATCATTAAAGGTTCATGCATAGGTACTGCATCTCATATATCCAATAATAGCAGAGTGAATTATGCAAAATATATACAGCTGACATGACTCAGAACCTTGCCAATAAGGTTGTCAATCACACCCCTCACAAGACCTAAGAAGAGATGCCATAAATCCAGCCCAAAGGGGCTGGGGTTTTAGCTCAGCGGCATAAGCGCCTGCCTTGCAAGCAGGCAGTCGTGAGTTCGATCCCTGGTACCGATAAAAAGGAAAAAGACAAAAAAAATTAAAAAAAAAAAAATCCAGCCCAAAGTTTTAAATTCTTCAACCCAACACACTCAGTGGTCTTGTCATTTCCTTTCTGCTCACTCTTACAGTAATTAAACTTCAGTAAACTTTCCTAATTTTTTCCTTACTATCAAGTGCCAATGTCCGGTTCTTTGTTCATTGTACATGAGAACCTAGAAATCCTTCTGGGACCTTATTACCCATGGTGACAGAAGTATCTGGGATACTAAGAGAATGGCATGCATGTAACCCTTTTTCGTTGACAAACTCCACTTGTGGATGAGAAAATCCCAGTACAGCCAGACTAATCTTATTATGTACAGAAAAACCTAACCTTACAAAATTTGCTGTTCAAGTTTAGTAGGGTCGTAATAATTTTTGGTCTGCTTAATTAATTATTGAGAGAGTTATAATAAAATAGTCTACTATAATTGAATTTCTTTGGAAATTTTTGCTTTATATAGTTTGCATATGTAGCCATATTTTAAAGTCTATTTATTCTAATGTTACTATTAATCTATTTTTTAATTAATAAACACACTCAGTAAGTCTTTGGATATTTTACCTGGTAGATTTTTTTTTGTAATAGCATAAATGTACATTTTACTTTCCATTGTTAAAATATATACTTCTATAGTTTATTCTATATTTATTATAATTAAGAAGACTAATGTATCCCACTGGGGTTAATTTGTCCCTTGCAAATTTTCCATGAAAACTTGATTTTTTTTCTTTACTTTTGTCCAGCATTCAAAGTTCTGAAGAAAATTCATACCTAAATGATTAAGATATTAATTGCTAGTCAGAAATTCCAGGAAAAATAGAACAAATGAGGCATCTGTCATAAGAATTCAGGATTAGTAATCTTTCTTTAAATTTATAAAATCTAGAAAATCTAGTGACCTTAAGAAAACATCTGATTATGGGTCGAAGAAATCAGCCACTTCAGGATTAACAATAGATGCCTATTTCACAGTGGCTAAGAATATACTTCCTTAAATTTTAATTAAAAAAATTAGAAATATGGCTTTATTATGGCCTTTATATGCATTTTTTTTTCTTTTTTTGAAGGAATTACCAGGAATCAAACTCAGAACCTCACACTTGCCAGGCAGTTGCTGTGCCACTGAGCTATACCCTTGATCTCTGCAAAAATAATCTGAACACCATTTGAAACAATATTTTAAGGATGCAGCTAGAAATTTTAACCATGATGTTATTCAGTGATATTAAAAGATCTTTAAATCATTTTTTAATTTTTATTAATATGTGTTGGCCACACATAATTACTACATCCACCCAGAGAACTGGTACTGCCCCTACTCCTCCCTATCTTTTTTCTCCCTCTTTCTCTTGATACCCTTCCCTTCTGCAAAAGATATTTATATAAACTCTGCACTTGATAGTTAGCTCTGAAGGTACTCAGAATATAGCCTGTTTTTCATAATAAGTTTCTTTTTCTAACACTCCCTTGCCTCTCAACTACTTGACTCCTGGAATGGAGAGGTCAGACAGAAGCTTTTGTATTTAGCAACGTAGCTTTATATGTTAACATCTCATTTTTTGTTTTTATTCACTACATCTTGTCTGTAGGTTTTCTGTTTTCATATACTATTAGATTCATCAAGATTTTTAAAAATTTTGCCTCAATCTGGTTTAGACATTAGGCACTCTCTCTATATATTTGTTGCCCCAAGTTTTCAACATGCATATTTCATGCAAAATATCCTAAAATAATTTAACTCTGTTCCCCCAAACTACAAAATCTTTCATACATATAAGGACAACAACTTGTTCCTTATAAAGCTGTCTAGTAATTGACTTTATTTTTGTAACACGTGAATTTTTCTTCTTGTTTTTCAGCTCAATGATCATGTGACTTACACATAGCAACTGAATTT